AAAAATTCCTAAAGTTGAAGAAAATTTCAATTTTCCACACTCTATATTTCTGTTATCATTTCAGCTAGACCCCAAGTGTGATAGATTGATGAAATCAGCTCTTTAGGGAGAATCTGAAAATGCAGGGTGTCTAATCTTAAAATGTTGCGCATAAGTATTTCTTGAGATATTCAACTGTTTTCTGTTAGCATAAAATCTACATAAAAGATATGAAAGAACTTTCCTTGAAAAAAAATAACAATATAACATATATAAAAAGTTGAGTGGGGGTTCAAAATATACGTGAAGACCCTGTACAAACATTTTTTCTTCAACACTTTGGATATGGATGCCAATACAAACATTTTGCTGAATTTGTTGGAAAATAACATCAAACTCGGTGAAAATAATAATAATAGGTAGTGAGTGTAATACTGTTTTGTAGTTGAAGAGTATCTTTTTTGTATAGGGTGAGAGAAACTCGATACCTCAGTTCTATTATACAAAAAGAAAAACGATGAAAATTCTGAAATGGGGTTGGTAAATGGAATTAGGCAAGATTCATTTCAACAAACAACAAATTAGTTTGAAAAAAAAATTCTGACGTTGAGAATTGAAGAAATGATAAACAAGTTATTATATAAGTATTTTCAAAATTTCGCGACACGATTCAAATAAGTAGCTTGTGAAAGCGAATAGGCAGGTTGTGAAAAAATTATGAAAAAACAGTTTTTCAAATATGGAAATCCATAAAATGGTTTTTCAGTTTTTTGTATTGTACTGGTCAATGTGTCATAATAAAACAACCTTGGTTAATTTGTTTCCACGTTTTTGCTGTTGAATTTCATCATGTAGTTGAGATACCTACTCTATTGATACCTCCCGACGTTGAATTATTATAATATATTTATTAATTAAGTAAACAACATATGCAGAGAACGGCACTATTTTACGGTCACTAGGATGCTACGATTATTTATAGAAACACTGTTTGTTAGCGCAACTTCGCAGAAAATGCGCTCTAAGTAGAACTTTTTGTCTTTTGTTGTTGTTCGATGACATTGGATAGAAGTTAAAGGACCCCGCACCGCTCTTATGGGTTTTTGGGTCCCGGTCAAACCGGCTGAAATTATAGTATGTTGTAGTTTTTGATATCCTGATCAAAAGCTCTCTTGGGCCCAACTCAATCCTATGACTAGTTTTCGAGCAACAGCGAATCAAATGTTGGATTGTGTGTCTTCAAGCTATATGGTGGTAGAACAGACATATTTTTTTAAGTGAATTTGTGCCCTATGAGCCTCAAAAAACGACTTGGTGATAGAATTTCAACCTTAATAATGAGTTTGTTCGAAGGATAATTCGATCAACTGAAATATTGATAACAGGGTGATGCCTAATATCTTGACAATTAATTATGTTTTGTAATAATCATGAATTTTCGTATATCAAATAGGAAAAACACACTATCCGTATTGGGAATTGAAGTTTATTGAATAAATGAAGAAATCGAGTATACAGGGCGGTATCGCACAGAGACGTACGCGCTACTTCCATTTCATGAAACTCAATTAATAATTTGACTATACATATATGAGCGAAGCTATGTGCTATTTTGTATGATGCAACACTTGATATCTCAAGTTTGATTCATCAATTCCTTTTTCATCTTACTTGAACAGACATTCTCCAGATCTTACTTTCTAGCTCTCGATATATTTATGTTTTTGTGATATGAATGCCCCTTATAGTATAATTTGTCAGTGGTATCATGAAATATTTCGTCTTATCTTATATTCTATCAGTATTCATCGTGCTACAACCCATCGAATGTATCATTTTTTAGGAGTAGTAAAGGGCACATATTTTGTGAATTAGTTGAAGTCCAAACTGCAAGCTTCAGTTCATTTGGTACGTACCTACTCCAAATAATTAAAATGTCGATTACAGGATGTCATCAAGAATCTTGACAATAATTCGAATGAGTAATGCTAAAGTTCAGCAAGATTGTTTTGATGTGGCCTATTCACAGCGTCTAGTACAAAGTTTAATAAGCGAGTTGAGGGATAATGAATTTTGGGCTCATGTCTTGCGTAACCCAAGAACCATAAAACACTTGCGACTTGTGCACATGAACCAAGAGTTCTTGCACCTAATCTGCAGGTGCAGTAATAACCGGTAATTGGCTCCATGTCATTGTTGCGGTTATAGGAAATCCACAGTTGATATTTCGTTGCATTACGAAATCAGGAAAATACTCGTACTCTCAGGAAACTAGCTCCATCAATGAGAGTATCTTTGTTTTTTTTTTGTTCAACAAATTTCTCAGATGTCATTTCGTTATAGTTTTACTCGATTTTAGTTGTATTATATAGAGATGAAAATTGTGTATATCATGAAGAATGGCTGTAAGAATAAGTGGACATCATGGTTACTGATGAGGATTCAGAGATCCGAAATGGGTTCATTGCAATAAAGTCATATAACCTGTGTGTGAGAGATAATATTTCCCATATCACTGATATGAATGATTATTTTTGGACGTTTTCAAGCTCATCAAGATCAGATTTCATGCCAGTATACTTCTCCTATACATTCCAATTTTCATTTCAATGCTGAATATATTGGTAAGTCATATTTCTAGATCATTATTCATCATATCGATGGGTTTTTGGCAGAGTAACGTAAGTCGCATTTTTAGGAAAAACGAGATAGTCATAGTATATCAAGTACCGATTGAGAATACATGTCCCGGCAGAGTGTTGTGACTCAAATAAATCATTTAATCATAGAAATTTCCTCCAATATTGAAACGTAAGTACATAAATCCATACCAGTAACAAAATAAAGCAACGTAAGTATATTCCTTGTCCCGTCATATTAGCGTAAGTGGATTGCATTTCCCGTCATACTGATGTAAGCAGAACAAAATATACGTCACTTACGTCAGGGTTTGACCTGTGAATCTGACAGTAGAGTTTGTTATCTGTGAACAAGTTTTATTTGTTTGTGAATTGATAATTCTGGTAAGTATTTGAAATTATCATTCCCTAATCGATAGTTAATAATGAAAACATAATAAACACAACACAACACGTCATAACATCAGTAGTAGTTTCACTTACTACTCTCCAAAAATGTAACGTAAGTAACAAATTCGACATAGAAATAGGTTTCCATGATTTTTTTTCACCTGAATTCTTTTCGAGAACACTTTATATAAACTTTTGTTCAGTTTTGTCTTTGTGTTTTGTTTTTTCATGTCTCATAGACAAAAACGTGTCTCCTGTAAAAACATCAGTTTGTGACTTACGTTACTCTGCCAAAAACCCATCGATATTATTCATCCGATTTGAAGAAGAATGTCAATTCTCAATTTCGGAGGATTTTATTCTTTATTTTTCATGTTCCCCTTTTGAATGTTCATCAGATATAATTCAATGTTCGACGTGGCAAATAGCCAGGAAAGTAGTTGTTTTCTGTTGAATATTCAGAATGATGTGTGTATATACATATTTTTGTCTGAAGGAGAATGCAAATTCTCAATTTCAGAAATTTTTATATTTTATTTTCAAACTCTTATCGTGTGTGTTCAATAGATATAATTCAATGTTCGTCGTGGCATATAGCCAGGAAAGTAGTTGTTTTCTATTGAATTAACTGAAAAAGAGTAAATATTCTCATCACATAGAGAATGCGAATTCTCAATGTATTGCTTTATATAAATATATATCCATTTTTGTATGTTCATAATTTATCTGAGAATATTCCTTTTCAACACAGGCAATTGATGCTCAGCTTCTACTAGTGCTTGTACAAGATTGAGTTGTCTTGATCTTTCCAAAAGTTCTTTAGCTAATTCGGCATTGGCACCTTGCATGTGAAAAATCGGATGATACCTATTTATTATAGCACCACAAATCTGATAGAGTTCGCCAAGGTGATGAACATGTTGCATTTTTAAAGTATGGTCAAAAAACTTAAACAGTGACTTGAAGTGACCATTTCTGGCTTCGACTCTCCATCTTGTTTTTGTTACCAAACGTGTTTCATTTGCATCTTCTGTAGTAAGTTGCCGATGTCCACGTTGAAAATGTGCTGGCAGTCTATACGAAATACCAAAGCCTTCAAGTAGTGAAATAGCATCTCTATATCCCGAATCAACTACAAAAATATCACCTTCTTGAAACCATCTTCTCATATTATTTGCATCTCGATCAAATTCACTACGCAACATTTGAGCGTCATTTTTGCGTGAATTTGAAAAATATGGGCCTTGAATTGCTTATATGTAGCCATCTGGAGCTACAATTAGTGCGAGTTTCACTAAAAGACTGTCGTAGTGCTCGAAAGTTTGAACTTTTATCTATATATGAATATGTTCTGTCAATATATGCAATTGCTCTGGGAATATCAGTATCTGGATTGTATAATTCATTTGCAAAATCAGTTATGTGGTCTTGAATGTAGACATGCCTGGTTACTGCTTACGTCTCTGTGCGATACCCTGTATACTCAGTTTCTTTATTTATTCAATGAACTTCAATTCTCGACACAAATAGTGTGTTGTTCCTATTTGATATACGAAAATTCATGATTATTACAAAACATATTGTCAAGATATTAGACATCACCCTGGTATCAATATTTCAGTTGATCGAATTATTCTTCAAACAAACTTATTATTAAGGTTGAAATTCTATCAAAAAGTCGTTTGTTGAAGCTAATAGAGCACAAATTCACTTAGGAAAATACGTCTGTTCTACCACCCTCAAAGGCACACATTCCAACATTTGAATCGCTGTTGCTCAAAAACTAGTCATAGCATTGAGTTGGGCCCATGAGAGAGTTCGATCAGGATATCACAAACTATAACATACTATAATTCCAGCCGATTTGACCGGGACCCAAAAACCCATAAGAGCGGTGCGGGGTCCTTTGTATAGCACCTATCATCACATAAAAGTACTGGCTTACACTTTTATGACATTCGACAAAATACTAAAAATGCTATAAATTCTTACCCTAAGTGTGTAGTCCCAAGAACCAGTAGATAGTGCAGTTCCATCAGGTGACACTTGAAGGCAGGAAACTCTATTTTCATGTCCATACAAGAGACAAACTCGGACACACTTAAGAGTATCCCAAACGTTAACAGTATAGTCATTATACCCAGCAAAAAGTAATCGACCTGAAATAGTTCACTCATTGAAAAATATGCAATATCGAATGTTCAGGAGCAAGATATTTTTGGTGTATTTAGATCTCAAAGTGATTGATTGCCGCTCGACAAAGAGAGTTGCCGCTCGACAAAGAGAGTTACCGCAAGACTTAAAGCAGACCGCGGTAGTCTTTGGGGAACGTCAATAACACTTTGTGCATGAAATTCACACAAGATTTTTTACACAAACGTAGCCCTCATGGCCCTCAACAAAAAGAAGATAAAATAAAAATCATCGATATTTCCGAAAAAAATATATTAGGAGGCAAGATAGGTTGACCACTGTCGAGCAGTGTACCTATATCACTGACGATTATCCCATTTTTTCTGTGACGGGAAAAAAGTTTGGCATTTCATCTCTGTTGGCAGGTTATAAAATGTCAATTTTCATAAATTACTTTTTTCCCGTGGGAAAAAATTGAGTACTTTTTTCCCGGATATATATCACATATATATATACACTTTTGATTGCTTTTATTGTGCTATAGTTCAGAAAAATGAGTCAATAATACCGTCTCCGAGAAAGAACTGCAAGTCCTTTTACCTTCCATTCGACTTCGCGGTTACGTATATTCCTAAACAACCACTAAAATTCGCAATCTTTTGGAATCAAATCACAGAATTAGACTGACAGAAGTGACATCAGATATTTGATTACTTCAGAAGAATGATAAAGATGCCTACAACGCAGGTGTCCCTACTGTTAAAAACTTAAAATTTCACGTCGATAATTTTCAGAATTCAAAATAATGTAATATCTTCTCAATATTGATTCCTTTCTTCTGTCACAGACAAAAATAGTGTATTATACACTGGAAGAATATTAGATTTTAGCTCAAGGTTTTTTGTCTCCCTCCGATTCGAGTCGGGAGACAACACAACCGGAAGCTAGAATCTACTACTTTTTTCCCTTGTATAATAAATAACTATTGGTCATTGAGTCATTAGGGAATATAAAATATCCATCATAATTGAGACAAACTGTATAGTGACTCCCCAACCGAATTCGGCTTCTATGATGTTCTTCTCCTAATGTATCAGCATTTTAAAATCATATTCATGATTGGTTCTCTTTAGGTTTCAGTATAAAAAAAATAGAAATAGAAAAGATCATAAAACCTTTTAGTGTAGAATTATTGTCTTTTTATTTGAATTGGTTGTAAAATTGTAGGAATCGAGAAGATCCAATTCGGAGCAACGTTTAAATTGCTTTAAAATGTCTTCAACATCGGGGAGACGTGATTCAGGACACCAATATACAGTGTCATCCATAAAGTCGGCATCATATGAGAAAAACTTTTGATAATAATTCATTTCGAGATATGACTTGGGCTTCAAGTTTTGCTTTAAAAAATAGAAAAAATGGACCACTCGATAGGAGTTACGTGCCGTTCGTTACAAGACAAAAAATACATTTTTTCCAATTAATCGCCGAAAATAAGCATATTTGTTTGAATTTCTAGAAAGTTTTCTAAGAAAAGTTGTTTTTATCCCAATTTTACATATGTGTCTCTAAGTTGAACGTTCTATCACAAATTTTAGTTTTTGATATTTTTTCCAATTTCTACGAAATGTCTGTGATATAAAAAAAAATTAACACCAAAAAACTATTTCATTCTAGTAGCTTCATCATGCTACTAACTTTCAATCCCCGCTTCTAATTTCTGTTATATGTGATGCAAAGTTGATATGTATCGTCTGCTATCATTCAGGAGTGAAATTTATTCAAATTGATTTTCTCAGTACTAAAATGATGCCAAAGTCATCTATCAAAATATCATCAAACTACTTTTTACCTATCTTACCAAAGTTTAGGACAGTTTTGTCGAAGTTACAATAATTAGTAGAAATCAAAAAATATCAAGAACTAAAAGTTATCTGTTTTTTTCCATTACAGATATATTGAAATAATACTCACATTTTTATGTTATAGAAACGAGGACAGAAAATCCAAAATAATCAAGCAAAATGAATGTTTTCTTGATTATACATAGTGAGAAAGTGAAAAAAAATCTATCACGTGGCTTTCAATCATCATCATCATATCAAAAACATAGATTTTCCTCTGGATTCTCCAAATGATGTACGACGTCAACAATAATGTTGGATTCATTGACCATAAATTATACTCACCTGACACTGAAAAATCTACGGAATTTGCACCAAATATGATGCTCTCTTTGCTATAAATTGCAATTTCCTTGTCTGCTCTCAGATCAAACAACCGACACTAAAAAAACAATTATCTATACGAATGAAACGGATCAAAAGTAGGTGGGAAATCGGAGGTAAGAAGCTGTGACATTGCTAGAATTGTTAACTACCATCTCCAGATCATGGATCCACTTTTCCTTGAGTTGGATTCACTTCCAATAAAACAGCAAGTGGTAAGAAATATTTGTTGGGTTGGAAAATAGCGATTGATTTCATGTTTGATGTGAATTTCAAGATTTAATTCCAATAAATAAAGAAAATACAGGCTGCTATATTCTGTATCACTCAGTTATTTATGTTTAAGGTTATCGTACTATGACCACCGCGGGCATTGTGGGGAGAATCGGGTTATGAAAGCAGAGAAACGCGTTCCTCTACCTTATTAATTGTTCGATTTTCGAATTCAAAGAACCATTCGCATCTGGAAACATGGGCGCAGTGACATTATTGGAAGGATTTTCTTGATAAACCCTGTAGTTTCTGAGAAAATGCGAGGTTCAATATGAAAAACAATGTAAATCCACAAGTCAAGTTATAGCCATTTGAAATACAATTTCCTCGTTGGTGGAATTAAAAATTTCATATAACTTGTTCGACTTGTCTTATGGAATTAGGATTTGACAGGGTGGCAGTACTGAAACCCATTGATATTTTCCGGGAATAAAAAAATCATATTTTTTCTAAACAACCTCCTACCCCCCAAATGCACAGGACGATTTTTCGACGTCCATTATCTGGAGATGGTAGGTCACAATTCTAGCCATGTCACAGCTTTTAACCTTCGATTTCCCACGGAGTGGACGATAGAATTTGATTGGCACTCTACTATCAAAGAAGAAACTCACAGTTGCATCATCACTTCCGGTTGCAACTGCATCACCACTTGGATGGAATTTCACACTGTTAACATCTGATTCATGTCCCTCAAACGACTGTACACATTGACCACTTCTCATATCCCATATAAGAACCATTTTATCACAACTCTAAAATTCATCAATTCAATCACCAATAGAATGAAAAAAATTAACTTACTCCAGACACAAATGTGTTGCCAGTTTCTGAAGGGGCCAAGTCAATGGCCATGACATCTGCTGAATGTCCATGGAAGCTCTGGAGCAACTGACCAGATTCGACATCCCAGAGAGCACATGTAGAATCTCCACTACCTGTTAGGATCTAAAAAAATGTACATAATGCCACATAAAAATCTGAAGAGATAATTCCAAAACACAACACTATGTAATTTCATAACTACTCATTAAAAATATTCACCTGTTGGTCAGAATTGGGGAAAAGACAACAACTCATGTAGCTCGTGTGAGTTCCCACAGTTTTCTTTTTGAGGGTTACATCCTCGTCTAAACTCAGTGGGTAGACAGTGACTTTGTTATCCAAACCACTGGTGAAAGTATCAATAATTAGCCTCGTGAATAAAAATGGGAAACAAATAACAACCTCACAAATCAAGTTCTACAAAGACATTTAAAATTTTGAATTTTATATAGGTGCTCAGCCTATTTACATTCAGTACCTAAAGTATACACTTTGTGAGTTTGCATATTATTTCCATTCCAAAAAAGTATTTTTCAACCTCAGTAGGACTGGAGCATATGGACATTTTTATTAAATAATATACAGGGTGATTCATGAAGAGACTCACATAGCCAAGTGGTGAATAGGGAAAATGTATATATATATTTATGTAAAATTTTTTTGGCCATCCAAATCCTAGATACAGGGTATTATGTGAAATTGTCATATAACTTTGATGGCCGATATTTCAGAAATGATTCATCGTAATTTGCTGAAATTTGGCAGCGACGATTCTCTATTGAAACTATTCAAGATGGCATATTATGAAGAAAAAAGCCAGATCCGGACTTGGGACACTTTTCTCGAAAAATTTTATCAAATTAAGAAAGATCAGACAAAATGCCACAAGAACTGGAAATCTTCTATGATGCACATTGAAGTGGCATCTTGAGGGCAAGAATAATTTGATTACCAGTGACTATTCCACTCATCACATTATCTGACCAATCACAAGCCAGAGACAACGTGTGCTTATCGCGAAAACATTGGCTGTCTTTCAATTCTGATTGGTCTATCAGCGTTGATGTTTTCAACGATGTAACCACGGATAGCGAAGCAAAGTCTAGATGTAACTATGGATAGCGAAACAAAGTCTGTCAGAATGAATCACTCATTTATAATGAATGCTTTTTATGCTTCGTGAACGTGAAATAGTTTTTCAAAATACCACTCTGTTCTGAATCTTTTCATAATTCTGTTTTTCATTGTTAACTCAATTGTGTAGCCGTACAGCAATACTCGGAAACACAATTTCGTGAACAATGAAGTGACATAATAATCTGGAATATTCAGAACATCGTGATATTACTTATAATAACAATAATGATATCGCTTTCATTGATGCAGGTCTGAGAAATGTTACAATGTGAATAACAAAATGATAATGTCACCATATATGACCTACAGAGCAAAAGGCATAGCGACATAATAATCTGGAATATTCAGAACAACGTGATGTTTCTTATAAAAACAATAATAATATCGCTTTCATTGATGCAGGTCTGAGGAATGTTACAATGTGAATAACAAAATAACAATGTCACCATCTATGATCTACAGAGCAGAAGGCAAAGTTCTTCCTCTGGATGTTTTCCCAAAAGTAATTCTCTAATTCAAGTAGATGCCTGAATTGCAGCACCTGATCTGAAGAAATCTATCTGAATCTATAGAAAAAAAGACAATTCAGAAAAAGAAGAAAAAAAATTAATGATAAAAAATATAAAAAACTATAATAATAATGATAGGGTTTCAAATTTACATAAACTGACAATAATAATAATAACAATAATAATAATAATAATAAGCAGCATGTGATAGTCCGCGGAAAATAGAGGGAATTGAAACATATTAGTTCAATAGACTGGCAATGATCCGTCCAAAATTGCAAGTTCGATTTTTTTTCAAGATTCAATGAGTTAGTGTTTTTAATTGGAATCTGAAAAGAGATTGTTGTGAGTTTATGTAAGTTTTTAAGAATGTTGAATAGTTAAATCATGTTTTTGTCGTAGATCGACATCGTGCGCTTGACAACGAAATTGAAGTCTTTCATATAGGTGAACAGGTGTTTTTTTTTGCGATGATTTTCTGATTAAATAAACATCTTTGGAGAAAGCGTCTTTCCTTCATGTTTAGCCACCCGATTTCCTTCAAAGATGCCGAGACATTATCCCATCTGCGTAGCCCGTAAATAAGGCGAACGCACGAGTTCTGAATTAATTATAACCGTTTACTTACAGTGTTTAATCAACATATTTCTATGAGAATGTCATTTTAAAGATACGAAATGCTTTTTGAATAATAATTGAAGATACATGCTTTCTATATCTTGAGATCAGTGTCGGGTAGCAAACCCAAATTCTTTTCATGTGACGCAAAGTTGACTGGGGTAGTATCGACCGTGCAATTATTAATTAATGGTGCCACACGAGCTCTAGAGGTGTTTTACCAAACAGTAAAGCTTTTGATTTCGAGGGGTTGATTTTCAAGCAAAATTTTGTCGATAGATTCACCAGTACTTGCAGATCTTCATTCATTTCATTACATGCAGAGAAAATAAAGTTGGTTATCATATGCATAAAAGTGAGTCGTAAATGTTCTGATACTTTTACAGAATTGAGAAGTATAAAGGGTAAATAGCAAAGGTCCGAGTATAGATCCCTGAGGAACATCAAACCCTACATAAGCGAAATTCGAGGAAGACACACGGTTTGTTGCTGATGCGACACGCAAAACGAATACAATTTGGTGTTGTCAGTTCCTGTTCAAATTCGCAATAGTGTCCGAACGGTATGGAGTCTGATTCTGAGGAGGATTTCTCAACATTAGTGGGACTGATTTATTGTCGTTCGGAGAAAAAACGAAACAGGCGTGTGGGTACACCCAATTGTCGAGGAACGAACTGAGAAAAGTTTGATTTATACTTTATCTTATCTAATGATGAGATCGAAAGAGATGACGAAAAACTCTTCAGTTTTATGTACCAATGTCAAAAGATTCCTTTTATGAACTTCTGACTCTGATGAAGAATCAAATAACTGAGCAGGATGACGGCAATGAGGAGAAGTATTTCACCAGAATATTGGTATTGCATGTTTGGAACACATACTGCGACTTGCGGTTGGATCATATATTTATTAATGGATTGTATTATTTCTATAATCACAGACAGTTTCTAATGCGTTGGAACCGACTTCAGCTGAGGCAAGAGCGACAAAAGAAATAACTTATCATCGTCTTCTGGAAGATTTTCAATTTCTCTTTTTTTTTCGAATCGAGCTGCGTTTCTGTCGATTGCTATATGTTATTTTGCGTCAACTAATAGGATTCTTCTTTTCTTCCAATTTGTGGAACCACTGTGACATTTTCCGTTTGTGTATTCTCACACGATGCCGATGTGGTATTTTGCAACGAATTAATTTTTCACAATCAATAAGAGCCATCATGGATCAGTCAACTTGACAAAAATGTTTGTATTGCACCTCTCAAAAACCGCTCCTCGTGTGTTCAATCGCACTTGACAAAACAGTCTGAGTAGCCGCTAAAAGCAATAAAAACGCGTTCGGCATATCATCCAGACGACCGTACGCGCGGCAGCAGCGCTGCCCAATGTTGCGTTTGTTTTATACCATAATAGATGCGACAGCTCGTGTGCCGAGTCGGCGAAAACCGCTCCGTGTGTCTTCACCCTTACGATCGACTATCAGAGACTGAGATCTATCCGTTGGATAGTTTTTCATCAACTCACAAGCTTTTTTTCGAAAACCCTAATTATCCTCCAATGATAAGATTAGATGACCAACAGTTGAGTAATCAATCAACACAAGAACACATAATTTATTACTTATGATTATCAACAAACGCCACGTCACATCAAAAAATGGAAAAACAGGGCCTTCGTCAATGGAGTCGAGACTAATAATATCTATCTAGAATTCCGATCAAAAATAACAATAAATCAGTACTGTGTCTTTTTTCTTAACTACAATTTATTGTCAATTTCTATCCAACAAAAATGAAAAAAAATCAATTTGAATGAATCCAGTTGATAGTTAAGAGTTTTCAGCCAGGTCGAAATTGAAAATTCATTCGAAAGAATTTGATTCGAATTTGAAGCGCAGTTCTTATGATATTTTGACTGATCTCTCCGAATCTGATAAAATTTTCGATAAGTGATAACAAAGTGATTTTTTTTGACATCATAATAAAACATACATTTTTCCCGATGTTTCCCCAAGTCCGGATCTGGATTTTGTCTTCATATAATGCCATCTCGAATAGTTTCAATAAAGAAACGTAGCTGCCAAAATTCAGAAAATGATGATGAATCATTTTTGAAATATCGTCCATCAGAGTTAGATGGTAATTTCAAATAATACTCTGTATCTTCGTTATGGATGGCCAAAGAAATTTTTCATATATGTATATACATCCACTGGTCTTGATTGCCCCCAATCACCATTTGGCTATGTGAGTCTCCTCGTGAATGACCCTGTATATTATCGTGTTCAATTGTCCCAATAATGTTGAAAAGTAGTATAATATGTACCCGCAAGCCACCAAATTCCCTGAAGGTGCATAAGCACATGCCATCACCCAAGTTGTTGGCATTGTAACGGCGTGCTCCTTGTTAGTTGTGAAAGCGTCCCAAATTATCATTTTACCATCCTAACACAAAGTCACAAATTATCATGATATAAAAATAGAATTTCAGATATCATAAAACTGAATATTAATGGTATGTTCATGAAATTTACTTCTATTCAATTTACATTCTATAAGTCATGAAAACCATCCATCCTTCTCAAAGTGGTCCAGATTTTTTTCAAAGGAAAAAACACAACAACAACGCTAAGTCGGTCGACCACAAAGTTTAATTACAAAAAGATTTTTTGTGACTAGTTTCGGCTCAAGCAGCCATCTTCAGACACAGTATATAGTACCTGTAAAGATATTGGTTTACAAGAATAAAATGACATATTGAGGAAAAACATACCATTCGGCCTTACCACTTATCTCTCCTTTAGGTTTTTAGACATAATGATTCTTGTAATTAATTCATTTTTCAGAATTTTACTGCAACATTATCATAACTCAAAATTGTAATCTCATATTGTGCATGTCATTTGAATTTTTTATCAAATGTCACTGTCATTTGTCATGTAATTCTGTCAACGTCTGTTGCTTTGCTTGACATTTCGTTGCCATCTCCTTGGCTTTTGTCTTTTACAAAAACGGCCATTTTAAGATGAAACTCATGTGAGTGAATTAACTGCTGGTTTTTCCAATTTTCTGCCAATGTTGAATCTAATCCTTATTAGGTTCTTTTGGCTGTTCAGTCGGTTCAAAAGAATACTAATTTTTTCACCTGACTGAATTTTGGCCAAATGACCCTTGCAATTCATTTTTCAATTAAATCAATTATGTGATTCCACGTGTCCTTTTATAGGTATGTTTTTCCTCAATATGTCATTTTATTCTTGTAAACCAATATCTTTACAGGTACTATATACTGTGTCTGAAGATGGCTGCTTGAGCCGAAACTAGTCACAAAAAATCTTTTTGTAATTAAACTTTGTGGTCGACCGACTTAGCGTTTGTGTTTTTTCCTTTGAATTTACATTCTATTTAAACTTATAGCAGCTGCTGTTGATTTACAAGTTTATGATTTGAACTCTCTTAAGATGAATTAAAAAAATTTCAATCTAACCAATAACCATGGTTCTTCTAAAGAGGATTTCTTCATGCTTCAAACTATACTTTATTCTCTGAATTCCCCAAAAAAGTGAGTTGCCTCTAATTCGAATTTTCCGAGATAGAGAAGGCATTGAAATATTGATGAATAATTAAATAAAAATGAAGATTTACGAGATAAATACATTGGAATATATTTTCAATTAATTTGCATTTCCCCAACTATATTTTAGGCATAATATTGATTTTTCGTAGAATTTAAAGCTAGTAGTTCAGATCGAAATCGATTATTCTTTTTATTTTCAAAATTTTAAGATCCAAAAGAAGAGGATCTGGCCAAAAAACTCAAAATTACAAGGAATGTCTCCTTCAGTGACGGCAAAACACCGACATAATTAACTAGACCGCTAATGCTAATAAGATTAAAGCTTATTCATTTACCAGATCGAACTTGGTTTATATCTTACTCCCTCTTACTTATGTTTCCAACACCAAGAGACATGACTGATGTCATGAACGACAGTTTGTGCATTGAACAGAAAGGTTTTTAGGCGACCAATTTGGATGAGAGTTTCGGGTAGCTGCGATATGACATATAATGTTGTTTTTGTTTATATAGGATATATGTACTTGTCATTCTAATAGGGTAAAGACAGATTGTCGATTGTCATCTCATACTAATATGCTTTCAGATAAGGTATCCTCTTCAGACGCCTAATCCACATTCGTGGACATTATTTCTCAATTTTTTTAAAAACACCGCATCGTAGTAAAGTGAAATGTGTGCTCCTTGTGAGATGAATGTTCTTAAGCTTATGTTCCTCTAGCAGAAAATGGTTGAAAACATCATTCAATGCACCTTGGAAACATGACGTCTGGAGGATTATCAATTGACAGAAAGTCTGGTGCAGATCTAAGTAGGTCGAGAAATTGTTTCTCAAGGTTCTCAAGGTGTATAAATTATAGGTGCATTTTTCAAATTGCTCGTGTCATTGTGTTGTGGATCAAGAGTACCTATGTGATTTTTCATTTTAATTTTCTAGGTCAAAGTTACTTCAACGCCACAAACAATGAAGAATTGAAATTTTAAGTGATCAGGTAAAATCCAAAAACTAACAAAATATTCTATTGTATGTCATTTGAAAAAAGTCCGATTATTTCTCATATAACAGGTTCTTGTATCTATAACTAATCGTGACAAACATGTAACTTCTGAAATGATTGAGATATTTAATTTGAACAGGTATACAGTGACACCCGGTATAATCTTTGACAAAATATATTTCCTCTCTTTATTCCACATGTTCAAACTATCAAGTGATGATCTGTCCACACCCTAACAGAATGACACACAAATCAAAATTACATCGAGGTACCCTTGGACACACCAATGTTTCTAAAAATTTTCGGAAAAAGTGGCATCAGGGCTATCCAGCAAAAATTGGTAAATTTTAAATTTTAACTGACGGATTCCATATGATTTAGTGGAGCTAACTCGTTATAATGTTAGCCCCTCATTAAAAGGAAACGTTTCAGAATTGCAATTCGACCTAATGTTTAATAATTCTTTGTCACTGGTTGTACCCGCAGTAATTTCATCTTCCATTCAAAATATTCAAAGTAAAAGTATTGGTTCATTTATTTCCATGAAATAAATAATCATTATTGAAATGGCGAATCCAGGGGGGGTTATGGGAAGGCATGACCCCCACCCTGTGATATTTTTGTGAACTTTCTGCTCATGGTGGCCATACGTACACGACACGTTGCAAACGCAAATACAAGGCTGTAATCAATAGAAATTGTATTGTCTACAATTATGTTATAATTTGTTTTATGATTTTTTTGTTTTTTCTACATATACGAGGTGTTCCAAAGCATTGTTTAATTAAATTGGGTGATTATGCAGAAAGGTTCCGATAAAAAATTATCGAGAAATGCTTCTGAAAAAAGCTGTGTCCCTTCAAATAGTACACCCTGCAGACGTAATAATATACGGATGGAGCAAATAGATGATTAATCACTCAGTATCTTCAACAAAGGGGGTCCATCAGTCCATGTTATTCTGGTGATTTTTTTTGTAAGAATTTGCATGTCGATATAATGGCTTCTAAAAACATTATTTCGATATGCAAGGTTCCCCTTTTCGAGCATGAGGATGCGTAAGCAGTAATATTAGGATAAGAAAATGGTTGAGTTAGGGCAATGTTGCGAATTTTTGTGTCGATTTTGTATGGCTCATAAGTTGTGAAAAAATTTATACAGCCACGAGAAGACTGCTATGCAACCAACACAACATTCATGGAGTGTTTCAAGTCCATATCACAGATTAAACAAACCTTAATATTCTTACTCGTGGAAATAACTGCATCAAATCCAGTACTGTTGAATTTGTAATAGAAATTCATAATCAAATATGGAATAAAATATAGGTGTCCACATCCAAAGAAGTTTCCACTCATTCCTACTATCTTACTGGTATTTATTTATGATATTAATAATTGGTACAATACTTTTTTAGTTATATATGTATCAAGGTCGTGAAATAGCCTTTTATGGACCGTAGCGTGGACACCTAGGTCAATGAAAGCAAGTTACGTCCGAAATATATACAACATTGATGTTTTTATCATGAATACCTCTCCACCTCTCAAAAGCTATAAATACATCATGGTTGCAGTGAGGAAATATCATTGATGACATCAACAGCAAGGGCTATGAACACGCAAAAGTTCATAACAGCAAGTTATGGCCGAAATACATAAAACATTTTATGCAGGACCGTTTCAGACATTTATTTACTGTTGTTGAAGATTATTGTTAATTTCCTATTGTGAATGTTAGATTTGACCCTGTATAAGGGAATTTTGGTTGTTGTCAATTTGGACTTGAGATTAAATGAGAAACGTCTATACAGTCCAAGACTATTATACAGGGTGTAACTAAATAAGTGTAAAACATTTGAGGGGTTGATTCCTCATCGAAAAAAAGAAAGGATCTTTTATATGAAGAAACTTCATTGGTGCATCCCATGTTGAGATACAGCCCCTTGAAGGGGGTACATAAAATTAGATTAACAATTTTTTTCACAAGCACTGAAACAGTTGCAGTATTGAAATCAACCTGACATTTGCTACTACCAAAAAGACACTTAACCAGTAATTTATTTGGTTTACTCCATGGTTGTTGAACACATTTTATGTACCCCCTTAAAGGGGCTGTATCTTAACATGGGATGCTCCAATGAAGTTTCTTTATATGGAAGATCCTATCTTTTTTTCGATGAGGAATCACCCCCTCGAATGTTTTACACTTATTTAGTTACACCCTGTATATACCGGGTGGCTACGGAAGTATTGCCTACGGAATATCTCAGTTATTGTATGAAGTAGGTTTGTGAAATTTGGAGCGTCGATATAATGACATAAGAGCTAGAATTTGAGCATATTGACATGTCCAAGTTAACTTCCGGTCTGACCGGAAGTAACATCAACTTTCTTATTTCAAATGGAAACCCTATTTTTTTTTTCTTTTCGCTTTATTCAGCATTCAATTCCCTTTCTAATGACATATCACAAGTTGGTATCTAACCAGAAACTAGATCAGAAAAAAATTATTATTGAAATTCACCGAGTAGGCCGTGGAAGCAAAATGAAAGCCAAAAATTGAAAAGTTGGCTATGGAAACCATACCAATGGTTATGCTGAATAGTACAGGCAAGAAAAAGTTGCATGTTCCTATTTAAGTTATGGACCTACAGAGTATTCTTTTTTTCCCAATTTTTCCAATATATTTCTTGGCGGCTTTTTATAACGCCGACGAATGAAAATAAAATATCACAGTAGTAGCAACTGTTATCAAGTGACGTATGGTTTCCATAGCCAACTTTTCAATTTTTGGCTTTCATTTTGCTTCCACGGCCTACTCGGTGAATTTCAATAATAATTTTTTTCTGATCTAGTTTCTGGTTAAAT